TCCCTTTGAATAAATGGAAGTTAAATGATACAGCTCCAACATGTCCAACATAAGGTTCATATAATATCACTAGTAGCTTAATTCCCAAAATATCTGTTCCTAAGAGAAAGACTGGCTCAGTAACGTTAAAAAAATCATTTAACACGGCTACAAGAAGAGTAGGCACATACTGTTGCCTCATCTAACTCTTGAAAGCAGGGGCATATTGCTACCTTAACTACCTTTTGCAGCTCCTTAGGCTTGCCTACAATTCCGCAGCTGCTCCTTGCTCCTCTCAGAGCTTTGCCATTGCATCACAATGGAGATATGCAAAAGATGCTAATAACTGTATGAACCTTAGACAGAATAACAACTTTACTAAACTAGGCATATTTCTGTGATGCTTTTGTGGTTTGGTGAAAGGTCCAGTGAAACCTTGGATAAGACTCAGAGTCATATTTGCTTCTGAATAAATCAAGATTTTAATCTAAATTTCCAAAGTTTACTTGTGTATTGAAGGCTCACCTTATATTTAATATCTCAAACCTATTTTGACAATATATCTGGCAACACTGATTCTTCTCTTGTTGATACAACTTACTTTGCTTTGGATAAATACTTTAACCCATACTAACCAGATCTTGTGCTCACGGTCAAATATTCCAATGTGTATTGAACAGCTGAAAGGTACTCATTTGGATCTTCCTTAACAACAGCCGAAACTATATTAAACAAATAAAAGATGACAGTGATAAGACCAATCACTTTAATAATTCTGAAGCAAGCACAATTTTCTCCAGCGTCTCATTTGGATATCTCAGTCACCTGACTAGCTAATAAGCACAGGTGCAACCTAGAACATGAAATGCACCATGTGTCATTAGCAGACCGTTCCTAACTCTTCTAGTCAATAGGAACATGCATGTAGTAGTTATGTTCAGTTGAGTAAATTTTCTAAACTTGAAGTTTCAAAACAATTAAATACATATCACTTGCTGGATCAGCATACACAAGTCCATCCATTTGATTGGTTTAAAACAAAATTCTTTTTGCTTTCAAATGTGAATGTGAACTAATTGCTTTCCAGCATCAAGTGAAAATGCCCATAGCTCCATGACAAAGTGAGAGCTCTGTAACAGAAGCTATTAACATATAAAGGAAGGCTATTTGCCACTTTCTTTCCTTGTCACGTGACAAAAAAAAGATTTGGCAGTTAAAAAGATTTTTTTTAAACATTCAGCCCAATTAAGTTTCTGATGGCAAGTACTATTCAATTTCTCCTGGTGTCAGTTGAGGAACAAAAGATCTAAAGTCCAGGTAAGAGATTAATTTTTCATCCTCCAAACGAATATTTCAAAATAAATATTAATGAGGTGCTGTCATGAAGGAAATCCCACATGCAGGTATACATTAAAACTGCTTGATTTTTTGCATAGTTCAGATGTTGTGAATTCTAAAAGGAAAGCAGAATAGTCAATTAGCTTCTACGAATAATGCTACTGCATAGTTGTTAACTAGACAGAACATAGTTAAAAATTACAATTCTTGTACTGTGTTCCATTCCATAAAAAAGGATAAACTATATTGTGTTCCCTAAAGCCTAATTCAGAATAGGATATGTTGGATTCAAATTTCCATCTTCTGACTGATGGCCATAAGTAAGCTGAAGATCAAATATTCAGTAAATCAGAAGAGTACATATCAGCCATTAATATCAACAATCTGCCCTCTTTCCAGGCCCCCAGAAGTTTCATTCCACAGTAAACAAAAGTCATTAAAAGTTTTAAAAATCACACAATCATAGAAAATTATCATCCCAGCCAAGGCTTTGTCTAGCCAAGTCTTAAAAACCTCCAAGGCTGGGGACTCCACATCCTCTCTGGGTAACTTGTTCCAGTGCTTTACTACCCTCCTCATGAGAAAGTTCTTCCTACTAATATCTAACCTCAACTTCCCTTGCTGCAACTTAAGCCCATTGCTCCTTGTTCTGTCATCTGCCCCACTGAGAACAGTCCAGCTTCATGCTCTTTACAACCATGAAATAAAATGGATTTACTCAGAGCTAATGGCTGCATCTCCACCTCTAATTTCTGTAATAGGCAAGCCACCCTTGCATGTGAGTTATAACTGAAAACAGTGGCATGTTTCTTTTGCCATTACTCTCCTTATATTTCCACTATTACTCTGTAAAGTACACTGGATACTCAGTGACAGATTCTGGGTCATTATAAGACCTTAATGAAACAGGAGATCACAGCTGTGTCATCCTGAGCTCTATCAGCCCAGGCAGATAAGCTAAAAGTTTGGCAATTCACAATGCCTCATCGCACTATAATAAATCTGTTCAGAATTGCTAAGGCTAGCTATGAAAAATAAGTTCTAGCTTTCTAGCAGGGGGATCCTTATGATTCAGGGTCTTTTGAGAACAGGAAGTTAAGACAAGAAAAACAAGAGGATCTTGAAGGACAATGCCTAAAAATATTAGCCCAGATTCTTAGCTGTACCCAGTAAGCACTGAGTGCAAGAGAGGGGAGAGGTGTGTGTGATGTAATCTGATCATTGGCTTGGTCCCCAGAGTAACTTAGAGCAGCTCAAAGCTACTTGAAATTCGGCAATCTGGATAAGGCACTCAGGAACTGGTAGGCAGCTGGGGATCATCGGAATGGACTAGGCTCCAATCACAGTGCCTCCATGGTGGAAGCCCATGAGAGATGGCATGGGGCTGGGAGAGAACTCAGGTACATGGCAGGTTGGCTTGCGTTAGTTCGGCATCAGGAAACTAATATAAATAAGCTACAACAGACGCCAAGATTGGACCCAGTGATTTTAGACTGGGTTGCAATTAGACAAATGTAAATCTTTGCAATATGACAGGTTCACACAGATTGTTCCCTGGGAGAGGTTTTGCCGTTTATGTTGATTTAGCTGTATTATGTAGTATCTAGAAGCCAAATTACCTTCCTGTTTAAAGCACCCTTCAAACTATAGTTATGATTAGAAAAGTAATGATATTCAAAGTGATTTTTCTTACGTTTTTTGCATTACTGAGTCATTTCTAGCTTACTGCACCGATCAAAACAAGTTTTCCTCTTTTTATCTGTGCGGAGGCAATACGTATATGGGAAAATAGCCTGGTGTCTATTCTGGCTTGCACGCTATATTCAGAAACATTCACTAGCTCTAACTGCAGAACCTTTTACTGATGATAATGGAAGAGACAGAAAGAAAAATGCTGTATTTTCAGACACTAAATGGAGTCAGTAGTTAGAAAAGTCAAATTTTAGGTTGTAAACTACACAGTTTTCCTGGAATCATTAAAAGAGAATAAATCTAGGATTCAATGATGCAATTTTTACACTCACTGTCCTGACTATAACAACACTTTACTGATCTGCCAGCGCACCATTAGATCACTGTGCTGCATTAAACTGTAAAAGAAAAATCCCATTTTGTGATTCAGCTATACAAAAAGTACAAACTAGGCATCCAAATGTGTCAAGTAAAATATCAAGAATCATAAGAAAAACAAATTGCAAGAAATATGAGCATTAGATATAATAGTCTGAAAGAGAAACTTAAAATGACTGATGGGATGCTCATCTTTCCTTATATGTTAGCTACTTTCTTCTATCTGCACTCATTTGCCATGTTTTTTAAACATTTTCCTTCACATACTCCATTTGCTTGGCCCTCTCAAAGGATTATCCAGTATTAATAGAATAGATAGGTCCACATTCTCCCAGTTCTGCATAATGTCCAAAACAGAATTATTTTAATATTTCATTGAAACTCTGGATTAAAATGGTATGCACATCAGGCTCACTTATGAAAGGAAAGGAATGGGTGGGAATTTTTGCAGAGAGTGAAAGCAAAGAACCAAGTTATTTGGACGACTTAATTTTGTTTACCTTGTAGTTCTCACAGTGGGAAGAAGACTTTCCCACATTATACTTTAGGAGAGAAAGCAGTGTAGGAGACAATAACAAAGAAAAACCAAGAAGTGGTGATCAACCACCAGAATAAAAAAAAAAAATGTCCATGACTTCAGAATTATGAAGTATACAAATCTTTATAGCAACTCATAATATGCACTATGCCCAATGGAAAATCTTGTCTATTTGCAACCTCACACGTTTCTGTATTCTAATTTTCAGAAAGTTTAGCACATAAGAAGAGATACTATTATTTCATATAACAGTAACTATTAGATCGGCTCTAGTAGATGTAGTCATTGTAAAAATGTATAGTGAGCATTTGGGGCAGAGTCCCTGCCCCAAACAGTTTACAATTTTACTAGATGAGGCAGGCAGAGGGGATATAAAATACAAGCAGAAGTTTGTGAATTGATGCTCAGATATTTGTGGAAAAGATCACAGCAAAACTGTGACAGGGCCTGAAACTATACACAGATCTTCTAAGCCCTAGCCTTGTGCCTAACCCAAAAGACTAAGTCCCTTCCCTCCCATTCTTAAATAAAGCACTCTATTCGAGGGTTTTTTCCCATTCTAAGCCTGAATACTGGTGGGGAGAAAACACCTAAAACCAGACATCTTCACAGACCCACAAACAGTCATAGTGACGTAGGCAGGACTATCATGCAAACAATCACTACTAAGGTAACATAGCCTCTTACTCTTGTATTGATTATGACATGAGTATCCCACCCAAGAAAAGGACTTTACAGTACAATACTCCTATTCAGGTTCACACTTGAGCTTTTGCAATGATTTGATGCAGCAATATTTTAGCCTAGTCTGTCTTTGCATAGAATATGACGTTGCAGATGCGGTATGATTTAATGACAGAAACTATACATGGGGCCTGGATGGTTGGCTAAGATCCAACCCAAGAATAATAATGAGGACAAAATATTGTGATGCTCCTCCATTAAAAAAAAAACAACGAAACAACAAAACCCAGAACTGCAGCCGCTTCTATATTTTCATACCCTTTCCCTGCTTCATTGTACCACTGGGAAGCTGAAAACAAACAAATTAAAATAAGCAATTAAGCACAAATTTTTAACAGAGGGGGTGATAAACCATCTGAACTATCATGGGAAAAATCCCTCTCAAGGTTCTTTCTGGAACAAAGAATTCTGTCACAGTTAAACTGATGGGCTCAATACAGAGGTATCTGGATGAACATTAATGGTCTGTGGTACACAAGGGGTCAGACTACATGATCTAATGGTCCCCTCCAGCCTTAAAATCCATTAATATGAATTTGGGAGATACCAATAAAAACTGATAATATATTTTTTCATACTGAATCTGCAAATATGACTTCAAAGGTAGAGAAAAATCCACATAATCAGCATGTGTCCTACCAGAAAATAACCTTCAAACCAGTATGAAACTTCTTAAGCTATGTGACCAAGACAAATTAGGGAAGCGCAACTGCAGAAGTGACTGCAATGTAGAGTAGAAACAAGTTTAGCTTTATACCAGCTTCTATGGATACCAATAGATTGCTGACCCCTCACATCCTGCCACCTGCTATTGCTCTCAGTTACTCCTTTCACCATTCATCCTGCACACTGAATGAGGCAGGGATTCTGTGGAAGGAAACAGTAATTATGTAATTACTCAAGGATCATGTAATTAAAATGAAAACGCATATGCACAAGGGGGTCAACTTAAAGTTGAACGGAAAACCTTAACTCTGGCATTTTTTAACTTATGAGTGCTTGATTTCATAACTGTAACAATGTTCTTTTAATGTTACTTCTGTGTGTAATTAAGAGATAACCCCCTCCAAATTAAGAATTTACATGCATGCGCGTGCACACACCAAAACCCACCACATTGTTAAAACAATTATTTTAATTTGATTGTTTTATAGAGACCAATTTGAAGCAAATATGGTTTTCAAATGAATAATTGGAAATAGAGGGATCCAGTGTGATAACATGCAAATAAGTATGGTGCATTCAATTGAGACCAAAAAATTGAAGTAATAATAAGGCAGGAAAACTACACAGCAGGATGGACATTTCTAGCATTAATGCAGCATTTTCACCTGCTGTGCAGATGCAAAATCTGTGTACATGAATTAACACTTGTTCTTATTTGTTTTCTCACCTTTTTATAGAGCAGCAGCCACAATGTGCATCTTTATCTTGAACAAACATTAAGAAGCATCTACTTCAGTTTCCATCCCTATGTGAGAAACGTGATCACCTTGAACAGCTCTAAGGGAGAAAAAGATGCAAAATGTCACACCAAAACATGAAAAACCATGTGTGTTTATCTAAGCTGTATATTTATGAGAGGGTTTTTTTTATTATTTCTAGTATATCTAAAAAAAGACTCAGATTACAACCCATCCATTCCCTATGCTCACTGTACACTCGTAACAATAAATAAAAATATAAATAACTGTTTTAATAAAGAAAGAATCCAAATGTTGACATTAAGGACTAAATCTCTCCTCTTCACTACCCAGTTCAACAAGATAGCTGTTCACAAAGGAAAATTCAGAGATGAGCTCATGGCCTTCATGTGCAAAGGTTTCTCCTGTATTTCTTTTCTTTATATCTTGTAACATAAACACATTCTTTGAAGGTTAATGCTATGCAAAAAAAAAAAATCCCGCATGTGTTTCTGGACCAACTATTTAGTATTACTGGTATGCCTAGTATATGGTTTAACTATCTGCTGACAGAAATTTTCTACAAACATCTTGTATACACTGTTGAGATTGCAACTTGTCCTTCTGCTGTGCCAGCCTTCATCACTGATTTTCAAACACGGCTGCACTTTCTCAATTCATGAGAGAAGCTTCCTGCTCTCCTTCTCTGTCGTGATGCTGACAAACAAATGAGTGTACGGCATTAGTTAGTCTATGAAGTGCATCTCTACCCTGCGTTCTGCCTGCCCTCAGACTAATACAGCTCTTTATGATGCTTACAAGGCATTTGTTGCTGGTGAGGCTGATAGAGTGGATAAACTGTGGGTCTCGCTGTGGCTTTGTGCTCCCGCGTCTGTTCACTGTCTTGCAGAGTGCAAGCTCCTCAGAACAAGGATCTTTTTAGTTTCTGTTTATACCGCACAGTGGTGCAATTAATAAATAAATGATGGGAAGCAACTGTACACTGAACTGAGATGAACCATTTTAGCTAATAATTCTTCTAACTTGTTAGAGGCACAATAAAATATTGCCATGTAAAAGGCCTTAAATGGTAAACCTATGGTTTATTTTGTAGTACAATAAAGACCCAGCCTACAGTTCCCTGTGTGTAATGTCCATTAAATTTACATAGGATACCCATACATGGAGGGTTGATAGGATCAAGTCATTGTGCTGTAAAGACTTAATTCGAAGCAGATCTAGAAATAAAACTTGAATGTCTTCAAATCCCTCTTTTGTTCTGAGAAACAGTGATACAATATTATTGATCACATATGTTTAAGGTAGTTAGGAGGAAAATACTGGAATACGTTTTTGTGAATGTCTGCAGCAGTAAACATACAGTATAATAATGCAACATTTACAAAAAACCTCTGTCAGATAATTCTGGGTTTCTGCACGCCGAAGTCTGATACAAAGCAAGCATAATTAGAGTGATAAAGTCTAAGCAGCCCTAGTAAATTTGACTAAAAGCTAGTATCAACACAGTTGGGATACTTATGTGCATGTTTAAATTACTCAAGTGACTAATTGTATAATTTCCTTTTCAATTACTGAATGCCCTGACTTTTAAAATTAGTCCCCTGTGTATCAGAGGCACTGTGTGTGTTGCTGTTAAAGTTAAAAACTTGTTATACTTTATAACATTATTGTAACATTGTCAGCATTATATCTTGCTTAATAAAAAATGTAATTGTGCATGTAATTTGGTAATTTAATAATAATATACGTTATACAAATCTGGAATGCATTAATTTGTCTTTTCTAGGGACAAAAGTTAAGTTCATGTATTTATCTTTGAATAAACGTGTTTGTTACTAAAAATCTAAATTTGTACATATTTTGTCCAAATTATTCTTATATGACATGTCATTTGTAACTGTTTGAACGGTAGCCTTTTGACCACTGTAGCAGGGCAGCCTGTCCCTATAAGAGGGAATGGTCAGCCCTATTGAGAAAGCCCCACTGCAGAACATTTGGACAGGCAGAGTGTCTTGCTAGGAGCTCTGAAAAGCTCCCAGAAGAGTAGCAAGAGTGGAGAAGCAAACTGTGGCCTGAACCACCTGCTATACAAAGGGGCTGCACTGCTGTGCTGGGACCAGTGGAGTTCCACTCCCAGTATTGGGACAGGACAACAGGCTTTTTTTCCTTTTTTTCCCCTTGTTTTGATGGTTTAAAAGACTGTTTTGTTTGTGAGAACTAGCCGAGAAGTTCCTCAGCCAGCAGGCTAGGCAACCGGCATATACCCACCTTAACTATCGCAATGGCCCTGAATCAAATCAAAGCTAAATTTGGGTGGTATCAGACACTTGGAAAGGCAGCTGCCTTCGCTCTGTGTGTGCTCAGGTACCAGCTCTGCACTCGGACACAGTAGTTTTCTAATGCACAAAAGCTATGCCTGTGACTGCTATGCGAACTTGCTAGGAAATGCCAGGGTTTCTCTTATTGCCTGGCCCCAGGTCCCAGGTCCCAGCTGGAAGCTGTGGTGGGCCTACAGGCCAAAATGCAAGGCTTTAGTAAAAAGCCAAACTCACCCAAAAACCATACAAAATACTAACGTGGTCCAAAACTTTGAAGTATTTATAATAGCTCAGTTCGCGTTTCAAGGTCTAAGTGACTTAGTTGTTAATGCTATGGATATACAAAGAAGATAATGAAAGAAACTCTTCAGCTATTCTTTATCAATGCCTAGTGAAAAGAACTGTTCTGTTTTGATGTCCAAAATCTTATATAAGAATACAAGACTATATTAAAATTATACTCTGCCAGTCACGCCCCATAGTGATGAGCACCACACTGACCCATGGACTTTTAGCCACACTCAATCTGGTAATGTCTACTTTGTAGTTGGTTGGACCCAAGATCAAGGAAGGGAAGTACAGAGAGACTAATGATGAAACAGTCAGTAACCAGTGACATTTTAGGCATACAGGGATAGACAAAACAATAACCCGGGATGCTAACTGCAGTAAATTGTACATTTCCCACGCTACTCAAATGAAACTGTATATCACGTACAACCTGCTTAATTACAACAGCATTTCTTCAAATGTTGCTTAAAATTTCAATAAGTCTAAACTATGTAGGAAGCAATTTTCCATTACTGAAATCAAAATCACTTGGAATCAAGAAAATCTGATGCGGTGCTAAAAGATCCATTTTATAAAATAAGGCTAATTCTACCTGAAACTAATGAATAGTTTTACTTGTATATAGGGACCTACTTAACTCACAGCAAGACAAACCATTTTTGCCCATTTGGCAGGCATTTCACAGTGGCCCCACCCCTCAGCTCTGATTGGCAGAGAGATCTCATGGGGGGGAAGACGGATGATGGGGCGGCTGCCATCTTGACATTGGCTGCCCTTTATCTGGCCCCACTCCTCAGCACCGATAGGTGGAGAGGCCCAGGGTGGGGGCAGCCACCATCTTGCCTGCTGCCCCCTTTGTGCTGCCCCACTAGCCAGCACCTTTCCCTCCCAGGTGGGCATTGCAGCAGGTGGGATGGATTGCACCCTCGGCAAGTCTGCAGATGGCACCAAGCTGGGAGGAGTAGTAGATATGTTGGAGAGTCAGGCTAGGATTCAGAGAGACCTCAACAAATTGGAGGATTGGGCCAAAAGAAATCTCATGAGGTTAAATAAGGACACGTGCAAATTTCTGCACTTAAGACGGAAAAATCCCATGCACCAGTACAGGCCGGGGACCAACTGGCTGGGCAGCAGCTCTGCAGAAAAGGACCTGGGAGTTTCAGTGAAGAAGCTGAATATGTGCCCTTGTTGCAAAGAAGGCTAACAGCATCCTAGGCTGCAACAGTAAAAGCGTTGCCAGCAGATTGAGGGAAGCAGTTTGTCCCCTGTGTTCGGCACTGGTGAGGCCACATCTGGAGTACTATGTCCAGTTTTGGGTCCCCCTATACAGAAAGTACATAGATAAATTAGAGAGAGTCCAGCAGAGGGCAGTGTAAATGGTTGGGGAGCTGGGAGACATGACTTCTGAAGACAGGCTGAGGGAACTGGGCTTATTGGGTATTTTTACATATGCTCCAGGAGTGAGAGGGGGGTTAATCCACTCTAATTAAAGTGCCTGGAGCATTTTGTGCATCAGTGTCCCCGCGCTTCAAAATGGCGGTGGGCGCACTTTATGTAAAGCTCGCTGAACAAGCCTTAAAGCAGCTCTGCCGCCATTTTGATGCTCAGGGATGCTGATATATGAGACACAGAGGCTCGATTAATTACAGCGCATCAGAGCAGCCTCCCAGCTTGTGTACAGACACCCATTTAGTCTGGCAAAGAGAAGACTATGGGGGGATTGAATAGCAGCCTTCAACTCCCTGGAGGGGGGTTGCGAAGAGGATGGAGCTGGACTGGTCTCAGTGGTGGCAGATGACAGAACAAGGAGCAATGGGTTCAAGTTCCAGCAAGAAAAGTTTAAGTTAGATATTAGGGAAAATGTTCTCACTAGGAGGGTAGTAAAACCCTGGGACAGGCAACCCAGAGAGGTGGTGGACTCTCCATCCTTGGAGGTTTTTAAGATCCGGCTAGACAAAGCCCTGGCTGGAATGATGTAGTTGGGGCTGGTCCTGCTGTGAGCAAGGGGTTGGACTAGATGTGATCTCCTGAAGTCCCTTCCCACCCTCATTTTCTATGATTCAATGAATACAATCTCAGACAGTTGCCTATCCAGCCTGCCCTTGAAAAGCTTCAGTGAAAACATTGATGGCATACAAATTCAAAAGATTAATTATTTTAAAATGCCCTCTCTCCTCCACCAAGTATTAGTAGTATGTAGTATCTGCATCCATGGACCAAGAGAAATCTCAACTGCTATCTTAGCAAAAAGTTTAACTGGGG